TGGTGATGTGTGGTAGCACTACTCAGCTGCCTGGGAAGGCATTTTACACGTCCCAAAACAGGAGTCTGAAATTAGGGTTTATACTTTTAATGTCACTCTGGAGAAGACTTTTCAACAGTATGGCACAAAACATGGTGCAAGGAGTACTGGAGAAGTGAGATGGCTTATCATCAAGGTAACCACATCCATTTGGAAATCTCTGGACAAATGAGCAATGTGGGGGGACCTTTTTTCAGTCAGGTTGCTAAGAGACATATTTGTAGTCAATCATAGAACCATCAAATGCTGCTACTCAGGAATTTTTTTTTAATAAACTCTTCTATACTGAAAAATAATTCAGTGAAGCCAAAACTGATCATGGAACCATGCCAGTTTTGACAAAAACAAGAAACAGAACTTGCACTGGCAATGACTTTTCAGACTCCAGATAGAATTTGTGATCCATAAAGCATCACATCGAGGTTGGCATCACCAGCACACAAAAAATCAAGAGGAGCAGCTCAAACCCACACCCTGTTATATCCCTTAATAGAAGAATACTGGTCTGCTTTACAATAATTTATAAGGAGCTAATAAGTAAATTAAGTCTACGGTAAGTAGTTTAAATTTGCTATACCCAGAGATCTGCATATACTATAGAAAATGTCAAGGGATTTTGAAGTCTGCTAGTCTACTTCAACGTGCAAAGCAGCCTAATGCCCTGCAGTGGAGGAAACACAAGTTCAAATCCTTGCTCCAGGGCTGTGGGTGAAGGTCAGAGTAAGAGTCAGCCTTCCTTACAGGCTGGGGGTTTGCTGACAGCCCCCAGACACTGAGTATTTTGGCACTAGTATCATGATTTTGTGAAGTTTTCAGGAAGTCAATGTTGTGCTATGCAGAACAGCAAATGTTGAAATCTCAAAGTACCGTGCAGGACAGAAACCCCTTTTTTAAACACTTCTACCAATGAAGGAGACGGTAGCATTTTCACAGAGCCAAGCTGCCTGTGTGGAAAGGCTGAAAGGTAATGAAGGTTAGTAGCACAATTAGGCAAGAAAAGGGACACTGAGCTACAAATAACATTTCATAGGGCTGAAAAAAAATTGAAGAGAACATAACATTAGAAATTATTTTCAAACCTACATTTCTTTTAATAAATCTGCACAATAAAAGTATCGACTGTTATGTACTTTGATATAAGAGCATGTGAAATATTTTAGGGGGAATAGAACAAGGAGGTATCATTATTCAGCACTGCTATTAAACAAAATGCAAAAATCAGCAAGTTAAGAGAAAAAACATCCAAAACACCTAGAAACAGAACAACGAAGCTTTTCGTGATTACTGGACATATCTGGGACGACCCAGAGCAGCAGTCAGGCTTAGGTTTGAGGTCAGCACTTTTTCTTCATGGAAGAAAGGTCTTTTCATTTTAAAGTTGATAGTTACCTTCAACCTTGCCCGCTCCTCAGGTGCTGTCACAGAGAAATTTGCTTAATGCTGCCTGTGCTACCAACAAATGAATGTTCAAGAGTGTCCAGCCTTTACTATACTTCTACTAACACTCTTGAAGTTGTGGGTGAGTTGGAAACAATCCAAACCATGATTTCAAACAGCTGTAGGACAGAAGAAATGCATTTGGAGACACCAACATAATGTTCAGAAACAAGCCCACAAGACTACACACAGAAAGGGGATACTGAGATATTTATATCACTACTGTGAGACACAGGAGACATCTGTGTGGAATTTTTTGATTTTATTTAAAATGCCAGTGAGGTGGGTACATACAAAAAACCCAGTCTGACAAACTCTCATATGTCAGGTTTTCTTTCAGAGGGTCACTATATTTTACCTTCACCCACCTGTAAAAAGAAACCTATGGTTACAACAGAACCATGAACAGAACAGCAGACAAAAAAAATAAAAGGAAGAGATAAAAATAACAATCCCAATAGTAAATGGAAATAAATGACTTGTGCTAAGAGAGTTTAGGGGTGCCAGCTGGGGAGAATATTTGAGCTGGTCACATTGCCCTTGCTTTCCTTCAACAGTGTAATTTTTCACAGAAAGTCCTGGCAAGAAATGCTGCCTGCAGTGGTTTTAATCTTGGAAACAACCCACGTATGGTGGCTGCATTAAGACTGGAAGTGAAAAGGCCTCAGGTGGTAACAGGCTGTGCCTCACTGTGTGTAACAGACTGACACCTGCATCTGGCTCCAAATGCCTGCGTTCATCCCCCTGGCTGTTTGTCCAGCACTGAAATACTGCCTGGCCCAGGTGGGAGCAGACCAGCAATGTCAGGGACAGGGAAGGACAGCAGGCAAGCTTGGGTAGCAGATCCACATATGTACAGACCTTGCAGCATGTCACTGAACAAACAACTTGAGTCCTTGTGCTCAGCATCACTGCCAGTGGCAACAGTTGAGTAACAAAATAAAGAAAAATCTAAGGAAAAATCAAATCAGGAGCCTCTGACCTATGGAATTGATCCAGGGACTGTTCTGCGGGAAAACACATTCTACACCACAGGAAAGGCCAGGGAGACAGTCTGGTACAGAATATTCCCTATGCACACATTTCATTGCTGGAAGTATCAAAATAATTTAAGCACTTATGTCCTCCTTGCTTTAAGCTCCTCAGCTAACCCTGGGAGCGATGCAGGTACATACAATTCTTCCAAGTGGAGAAGGAAACAGCAGGTCACACTGAAAATTTTTGTTTTGATTCCTAGGTTTTGTTGTTTCTAAGGGGAAAACAGCACAGCAGTCAGTGTGCTTTTATTGCGTGATACCCAGAGACAGGACAGGCAAAGAGAACACAGGTCCTAATATTACAGCAAACATTGTTGCACAAAGCTAAATGGTAAGCAAGTGCTGTATAACAAGCTGCACGTGCTAGATATATACATGGTCAAGAGAATATAAGCAAGGCCTTTCCTGCGCTGACTTGTTACTTAGCATTCAATAACTCATTGTCAAATGAAAAATACAATTACTGAGATCCCCCTGTAGAAGAAAAGCGTAGTTCAACTTTCTGGCAAAGCTCAAAGTTCAATTACCCTGTAGCAAATCAATCAAATCTGTGTGCAGCAAGCAATGAAATAGTACAGATGTCACCTCTGTGCTTTCAGCTGAACATGGTTTTCTTTCTTTTTAAAAATCAGTGAGTAGCACTAGGAGACATTTACAACTCTCACATTATGCAGAAGATAAAAAGAAATCTATCAATGTGATTTAGAGCAGCAGAGAACAGTGCTCAGGGCGTGCAAAACAATAAATAATGAACATTCATCACCAGTAACCTGCACGATGATCTGATTTTTATAGACACTGAGATTCATGATACCAGTTTAACATTGTATCTGCCACACTCCCATAGCTGGGAGCCAGGCATGCAGAGGCAATCATGCACTGAGCCATGTGCAAACACATCAGCCCATGGTGATGGATGTACGGTCAGGACACAAACGTGTACGTGCACAGCAAACGCCACTTAACCCAGGGCAGAGTGTCCTGTTTGGATAAGAAACGTTCCAAGGGGAGCAAGGTGCTACACTGTGCCTGTGACAGCTTGGAAAGTCACACTCGCCCTGCTGCTTCAAAAGACTCTCTTTGCCCTTTTGTTATGATCAGTGTAAAAACTGCCCTCGTGTCCATGAAACTCTCAGACACCCACCTCCCTCCAGGCTTCACCAGCCTCTCCAAAAATACCAGGGACACATTATCCTGCCTACCAGAGCGAGAAAGGATGACACAAAGTTTGTGTTGACTGCAACAGAGACCTTCAGGTTCCAGCAGGGGTCATTATGCAAGATTGGTTTTGGTTTTGTTCAGTTATGACATTCCCAGAAATGATGGCAAAATTTTGCAATCATTTTCAAATGGCTGAAGTTGACTTTGAAATTAAGTCCTCTGACTTAAAACACTTTTTTTGCTACAGAAGATTTGGTTTTTGTGCTTTAAAAAAATTCCAGTGACAATGTCAATGGTCATATTTAATGCTGGAAAAACCTTTTAATAATTCCAGGTTAGTCCATGATATTGTCAGTGAGTGAAAAAGGGAATAGGCTCATGTTTATAAAACAGCCAATGAGACAGTGTGAAGAAATCCTCTGACCCAGTTCTGATCCCAATTACAGTGCTTGAAAAACCAGACTAATTCTGGAATTAGCCCTCAAATAATTCAAAGAAGTTTCAAATCAACCTTGCCGCCTGTGGAGTAAAAACTGCCAAAGAGTTGTCCTCTCACTCAGCTGTAATCTTTCAGTCTGTTGTAACAGAGAATAATTTCTGCTTTCCCTCAGCCTGTGACTGTTATTTTGCTATGGCTAGAACAGATGCTTTTTTTAAAACTCAAAACTATACAAATTCACAAATATGATTAAAATTGAGCCTGAATTTTGAAAGAATATACTTGCTTGCCTACAAACAATAGATATTTTGTATCATAAAAATAATTGATTCATGCAACTAAGTCCATAGAGCAATGCAAATTAAAAGACCACTTAAATACACAGTTAATTCTCACTGTAGTTGTGTAGAATTGATATCTTGAAACAATAGAGGCATCTTAAAAAATTTTATTTAGCATATTGAAAAACAAATGTTACAAAAAATTTTCTATAAACATAGGCAAAAATGTTTAAATAGGATAATTTAATGTAAACCAAACCCCCTTAAAATATGCAATACTGTAATCAGAGGTTATTTACATCCAGTGAAGACAGAACAACCTTCACTAATGTTAATGTAATCTAAGCAAATCATTAATTTCCATCATTTCTTAAAACAGCAACACATTTAAGTTAGTTTTAGTAGCTAAATCATCTCAGTCCTAATACAAGATGAAATTCAGTGTTACATTCAGAAGTGGGAAAGGCAGTACCCTGACTATTCATGTCATCAGTCAAGATAGCACTGCATTCAGAGTTGCAAAACCTTAGAGAGGTACAACTATAAATTCATATTTCTTGCATGACATGCAATTACATGATAGGTAAAACAAACAAACAAACAAGCTGTATAAAACCCCAGTAAAAATGAAATTTTATTTTTCAATCAGGTTAGAAAAGCCAGCCACAAGACTAAGCTATTTTCCCACATTTCACAAAACAGAACAAAACAATTTGTAATTTGATATTATTCCAACATGGAGTAAACTGTTCATGTCTCAGAGGAAATGAATTCGCACAACTGTCCCACACAGTTTTGTTAACTATGAAATTTATTCACCAAGACATAAATTTATAGCCCACAATGGCTTTCATGCTCATGTACATGGAAAAGGCATAGCCCAATAAATTTTACTTATAGATCACTTTAGGTATTTGGTTGTGACTTTTTGGAACAGCAAGCATCAATTCTGAATTGCACATAAAGGTATCTACAGGATACAGTAACAGGATAAAGTAACATATTCAATTTAGGGACTGAGCCTTTAAAAGTGGTAGTGGAATATAGTTATAAAAAAAAAAAAGGCCAAACAAAAAAAGGATCTAGCTCATCTCTAAACTACTAAACCAGACTGCCCATGTTCAGGGGATGACAACTGCTGCTGAACAACCTAATGTGAAATGGGTGATCTCCATGCATTTCCTACAGGAAAGTCTTATATTCTAACAAGAAAGTCACTGCTAAAATTACTATCTGTGCTGGCAGGCACAGGAGATGCCAATATGGCACAGACATTGAAGTACCAGCTCTTTCTGAGGTGGTTTCTGCACGTTGGGATGAGGCACTTTGTTTTGGTAACATCTGCCCAAAGCAGTTCATTTATTAACTGTTGCTCAGTACAAAAGGAGCTTTAACTTCTATAAGTGGCAATTCAGGATTCACAAGGGCTAAAACCATGGCTAGGCTTCGCGAACAAAGATTTGGGAAGGGCTAAAACCACTTCAAAAGAAAAGGTCAGACAGCCCACAAACAAGACTCAGGCAATTTTTACTACAAGTGTCCAAAATATTATACTTATCTGCCCAATATCTATTATATATAATAAACATAAATAAGAGTTACAGTTTTGACAACGGAGTCAGGAGTTTGGCCAGGAGTTCATCTATTAACTCTAACATAACTTGCCTTAGCCACTGGAGATCCCCAGCAGACAACTTTGGCAACCTATTCTTTGTCAAAAATGAGAACATTAAATTAATCATAAAATCCTTACTCCACTTGTCAGTACATCAGATCAAATTCTTACCAGAGTGTGCATATACATACTCATCTATGACCACACGTTTCTTTCCAGTCTCTGTCCATAAAAATCCTTCAGGAAAAGGTGGGCCAAGCCCCCTGTGAGATGGACTTTAAGAGCAATTTCAAATGTATGGCACTGGTATTTCATTTGGGGCGTTTGAAACAAGATCCAGTTTGTGTTTCTGTTTTAAGAAAGCCAACATAACATAATTTAGTCCTTCAGGTCTGATTGAATAGTAGAACATGTTACAGTACTAAGCTAATCCCACACTACCTTGGTGTGGGAAGAAAGAAAACTGAAACTAATATTCAGAAGTTAAATCAAACAATGAACTTTCAAATCAAGCTGGGAAAAAAAGGAATCACCACACTAGAACTTTCACCACCCTAACTATCATCAGCATCTAAACCAGGTGGGTGAAATTTTGTACAAGCCTGTCGATAATTTGCATCCATCTCTTCATCCTCAAAAAGTCACTCCACACTAATGCTTGGGGTTATGCCTGCATGTTCTTAGAATTCCTTGTTGGAATGGATAAGCAATAAATATATTTGTTGTTGTAAAAAGGTATCTATATTCTCTGCAAAGGATTTCCAAAGGCACCAATACAAGGTGCACACACGGTACAGGTAAGTAGGCAGGAGAGTATTAGAATTTGAGGAAGGGGTTCATAGCTGGGGAAACCTTGAAAAAGGTTTTCATAGCTGGGGGAAAAAGGAAGTCACACTGAATTGCTTTCCATTTTCCCTTTTATAAAGAAAAGTAATACCTTTTGGGTTTATGTGCTTATAGATAACATCCTGGTCCCAGTGAAGACCATGGGAGAAAGTTTATGACCAGGATTTTATCCACTCTTGAGTATTTCAGTATTTAATTATTTACTGTTGCATGAACTTTCCAGTTCTAAAGTTAACATATGCATACTTCTCATCTCTGGAATACACAAGGGAAAACAGGAAAGGCAGAACACAGACAAAACCAAACACCATTAAATTCACTAATCAGTGTTTTGAATTTTTAGCTTCTAAACATTTACAGAATTTTGAGCTGTAATAGCAAAAGCTTTAGAACACATCTCTTCTGCTAGGACTCTGAAATTATTGCTATTACACCAGCATTCTCTAGATGAGATCCTGGTTTGAACACAAAGGTATCCTACTCTCAGCCTCCTGAGGGTCCAGGATAGGGTTCATCATGTAACAAAAATCCAAGTGAAAAAAAAGAACCTACCAGACAAGGCAATACTGTAAAATCAGGCCCCTTTAGTGTAACTAACTATTAAAATGTTATTTAAGGATTCCCTATTGCAGGGAATTATGACAGTCTGCAGTAAGAGAGGGGAGGGGGATCCCACAAATCTTGTGGGGAATGTGGACATATTCAGAATGAAACAAGTGACATCCCTCAAAACAGAGGTGCTTTTGAGAAGTATGACAGAGCACCAAACTTGTATCTGCACTACACTCTCAATACAGATTCCTTATCTTTTAAGACCTTCTGTAGGGGAAAAAAAATCCCAAACCCAAAGAACGCGTGAACCTAAAAGAAGTGAAATCCATTGTACAAGTCCATTAAATTACAGAAATGCATAATATGCCAAGATAAAGTGCTACAAAAGGATTACTGATTTTTAAAAGGTCCGTGGCATTCTTCTTGTTTCACTTAGCACTGGTGACAATGGGAGTTAGTGCAATCGCACTGGCTGAGCTGGAATTCACAATGTCTTCATATTGCGGGGGTGGATCTAAATGTTGCTCAGTGTCACTTCTTCTCACACTGATCTCACCAGTGGCTTCCTCATAGGAAGGAGGAGGATCACAGTTTGAGAGCCTGGTGGATATCGAGTCCGACCGTGCATCCATATAGCTCAGACCTCCCGGGGAGAGCCCACTGACTTCATACATTTCCTCCTGTGGGGAATGAACAATGCTGAGGGGCGGCGGGACAGGGCCTCTGCCATCAGCCACAGCACCGTCACCCAGCGCTCCGTGGGCTCCCCTGTGCACGTACACCGACTGTCTACGCATTTTCTTTTTAAACAGGCATCTCCATATGACAAAAATGACAATGAGGATAACGAAAAGGCCAATGATTAATGGAAACGCAAGGTAAAATGAATACCAGGTATGTCCTGTGTTACTTTCTCCCTGAAGTCCGTTTTTGTAGACTTTCCAGAACTCCTTCTAGAAGAGTAAGATACAGTAAGTCAGAAACTATAAGATAGTTAAAAAAAAAAAAAGGAATGTCAGCAAGTTGTTTTAAATGAATGAAGAAAATAAAAAAGGCATTTCAAATACTGAGGATTAAAATAAGAACTGGCATGGATAAGCACACACAATAAACTTTCAATTTTTCTTCTGATGTCATTAGTGATACCAAAGGGATTTGGTTTTTAAGAACAAACTCCATACTACTTTTAAGGTTCCTGTGTCTGCACTCAGTGTTCGCAAACATGCAGCACAGACAAGGCTCTGCAAAAATAGACAAAAAATCAACCCCTCAAACAGAAAAAAACTTAGCCAACCAACCCCCCGTCCCCAAAACAAACTAGCTAAAAAACCCCAAAACCCTGCCTAATCAGCATGCACAGCAGCCATCTGGTGGATCAATATTTTTCAGCACCACTCAAGGTAAAATTTGGGGTTTGTTTGTTTGTTTTAAAATTGCAATAATATACTAATAGAATTTGACAGGGAAATACCGGTTCAGAATGACAGACCATTTTGGCAAAGCACAACTATGTTGTACTGTCATCTCATAATTTAGACTTCCTCCACCCTCTGGCTCATACAGCTATTGCTGTCAGCTTATTTTGAGTTGATCCAGATCCTCAAAATAAGGATCCTCAGATCCTAAAAATAGCTCCAGAGCTATGAGAATATCACACAGCTTATTATATTCTAGAAATCTTGACAACACAGCTACAGTTAAATGGAACATAAAGTGAAAATATGAGCAAGTGAAAACAAAGATGAAGGGGTACACCAGTACTTGAAAGTCATCTTTGCTCTATTAATGTGCACAAGTGGGAGCACAAAGATCATGTTGCCAATCCAATTTCCTCTGCAGTGACTGCTATGAAAAAAAAACCAAAAGAAAAGCATACTCTGCCTCAAAAAAGTAGCCATCCTCACCTGTAACATAAGATCTCTCCTACTAAGAAACATTTCCACCGTGTTTTATAGTCATGGATAATTTAAGAAAAAAAATAATTAATGACACCCTGCAATACATGCCAGAAACTCTGAACTCTTTAGTTTCCTTTAAAAATGCAGAGAGCTGGCCCAGCCATGCTCATGTCAGCATTGCATTCATTTGAAATGATAGCACACGTCTCATGCAAGTATTTATGAAATAGTCACCAGGTACAATTGATATTGTCATTACTCAGTTATTAGTAGACATATTCAGGTGCAGACTGACTGACCTAGAGCACAGACAAACTAGGTCTATTAGTTTTTTTTTAGTTCAGAACTGCTGCCACATGATCAGCATTAAACACTAAATGCCACCAAGCTGATCCCAGAGGCAGCTTGAGTCCACAGGCAGTGTCGAGGCTAGACCTGCCCAGTGCAAAGCCAGGACCAGGACACCACGGCCAAAACACATGCTTACAGTGTTTCTGGATCAGAACTCACTAAGGTTAAGAGCAATGTCATGTGCTTGAAACAAATGACTATCCTGTAAATTTTCTTAACCAAAGATGAATTCAGTTGTTCTTATGTCTATACTCAGTGCAAATTCAAAAAAAAAAAAAATAAAAAAATTTTGATTCCTACAGCAATCCATTCAGACATTTTCCCTAAATTCCAAAGCTTGACACCACAAACATGTCATCACAGTGCCCTTCTTTGATGTGAACCCAGGTCCAAATCACCTAAGATAAGTCAGGTAGGATTGGCTTCAAACAAAGCAAGAAACTCTGGGAAGATGGACCCTAAACACTTCTATACATGGGCCTTCTCTGATGCACTGTTCCACATTGAATCCCAGATCAACTGTGCTGATTTTAGACAAACATATGGGGGGAGGAACTAACATTAAAAAAATGACATCAGATGCACAACTGAGGACTTTTGAGATCTCTGCATGAGATGGCAAAACCAAACACCTCACCCTCTCCCCACCAGATTACCAGGCAATCAAGAAGATCTGTTACCTATCACTTTTCCATCTGGTTAGAATAGAATTAAATTATTTAGTGAAATAAATAATAGATATATTGTTGACTAAAAAAAGCAGAAAAGGATTCATTAGGATTACGAAATGCTACTGTCTGCACTGGAATGAAATTTTCCATTTCACTGTTCTGCTGCCTCAATGGCAGCAAAGAAATAAAATGGTACAGTGCTTGTTTTTAAGGCCAAGGTTGCAAAGATTTACAGAAAGATGTCAAATAGACTGTGCAAGGGTATGTCATTGTAAAGACTGTGGAGCAGAAAGGTAGTTTTGATGAAAAACAAGAAATCACACTTCTCCCCTAGCAATCTATTTCGTGTTGCAGACTGCAGAGGAAATGCACCTTCTCCAACAGAAGGGTAGTAAGTAGTGACTGGTATTTTAGTGTTGTTTTCATGTTACTTCTAGGTCAGATCTATCTGCTGTAGAAAATGTCTCTGTACCTTTTTTATAAAGCTTAAATACCAGCTGAAATACCTCCTTGGCACTCTGCAACATGGCAAAGAAGCAAAAAAAGCTGTTTTCCCAGACTGGTAGGTACTTAGTTCAGAACAGGTTGTGGGGATGTTTGACTTGATGATGTGACCAGACAGTTGCATAAAGAGCTTAAGGTAAGAGTTGAAACTGCCTTAAGGATGAAAGTAGTTTAGTGTCCTCTTTCATTTATATGCAAGGTAAAGAAAATTCAAGACAGTGTAGACACCCCTCGCCCCTGGTCAAAAATTACAGTACTTTAGACCTAACACTATCTTCCAGAGACACAGGAATAAAGTTCTGCACACAGATGCAAAACACTAAGAAACAAATACTTAAATGTTCTTCTTCAGGGGAAAAGCAAAAAACAACCAACCAAAAAAACCCACAACAAAACAACCCCACTAAACCCACCAACCAAAACCTTACTAGCATCCCAGGTTTGCAGCTTGCATTTCTGCAAGTCAGATCTCAAAGAGAAGCACAAAGACACTTAATTCCAGAGTGATGCAGTCGACAGGAACTGCAAGAAACTAATCCTTAGGGTTTGAGCTGCACAGCTGCCAAGCAGCTCTCCCTCTGCTCTGTCATCCCACAGCTACACCACATAGTAAATTGATGGTGCAGAAGGAGTACAAGACATCTGGTGAAAGTCAAATCATGCCCTGCAAAACCACAGACAACTCAGATGAATTTGCACAATGTCAGGATTTGTACAAACTGCTCTGAAAAAAGTAGGGGAAATACTGAAAACTTAGAAAGCAGCTGTGAAATTCGTAAAGAAAGCTAAATAGTAGTTTAGAAGTTGAAAAACTCACAGCACAAACACTCCTTCCACAATTGCTGGTCTCTTAAACCAACAACAAAAAGGACTGACTTTCTACTTGACAAAATTACTAATTTGTGATCAAAGAAAAGGACACTTAAGTAATAATTTATCCTCAAGTGCTCTACAACTGGGAATACCAGGTGTGAATGCCTTATAAGGCTGAAAAACTAAGTTAAGCAGGCCACAGAATCAGATAACCACTGGGGAAAAGACTTGGAAAACATCTAACATATATTCCTGCCAAGAGCTATTTTTCTGAATGTACCTTACTGCTTTGGTAAATCTAGTTTGAAACAATCAAAAGGAATTCTCAAATGCATCCCAAACAAAGACAGTTACAGCAAATTTGCCAGAATTTTGTTTCCCTTTTATTTGTAATACTCAGAACAGAGTCAGCATCAGATAACTGGATCTGAACACTGAATCAAATAAGGGATCCACATGAAAGTCAAGAGACTGACATCCTGCTCAGAATTTCAGCTGAGGCCTTTACTAAATTTGGCAGCATCATCAGCTCAAACGATCCTTGATCAATTGTCTGACTTGTTTTAAAGGTGGACTAATATGCCAGCCAAAAGAGTGCTTGGTATTAGGTCGGCAGAGGATGCAAACAAAGCAGCAATGGGAAGTGAGTGCACCTGCCACACTGTTTTCTGCTGGTCTGCCCCCCATTTCAGGTGGCAGGAAAAGATTCACCTCTTCTCTTCTAGGTATTTATCCAGCATCCATAGTTACACACAGACTGGCACTAGAAGTCTTACTCGATCACATCCTTTTAGATCTGGCTGACAAGTTTTGAGTTTGCTAAGCTTTTTCATAGTTTCTTTGTTTGCTTTCTAGGATAAAGCAAGACAGAAAACATTGGAGTTTCTTCAGTACTTAAAATTTGTGGGAAGATCTGTGACTTTCAGCTTTTACAAACTTCATGCAGTACAATTTTAAAAAAAAAATTAGTTAATGGACATAAAATTAATGTCAGTGTTACAATCACACCCAGATACTTTGCACGGCAACATCTGAATAAATCTTTGAGTCTCCCAAAAACCTTTGACAACTGACCAGGGATGACACAGTGTGCTGCTGTAGGCAAAGGCACCAACAATAAACAGCTTTACCAGGTCAGCCCTAGGGTTCACCTAATCTGGTAGCTTCTCTGTGACAACCATAGTTAGAGACTGCTGAAAGGAGAGTTCAAACAAAGTAGGCAGTGACACTTTCCCAGATCTCACCTATTTGTACTTCAAGAACTATCATTAGCCAAAGCTGATTCCTTTTATTTAATGGTTCCAGACTGATTATCTTCCCTTCATTTGCATCAATGTTTTTAGGATCCCAAACATCCCGTGGCAAGGCAGTCCATAGCTCTATTAGCTGTGGTGAGCAGAGATACTTCTATTTGCTTTGAACCTGCACGTTCTAGTTTCCTTTGAGGCCCTCTTAGCTCTGCTATCAGAAGGATGGCTTGTGACTGACCTCAGCTCAACCTTCATGCTCCTCACAGACATCAGCACATACTCCCTGATTTAATTATTTTATGAACTATTGTTGTCACAAAAGACTTTTGATATCTTTGGTCAACTGTCACTCTTCTCTGGTCCTTCCTCAGCTACCAATTTGCTTTTAAAGAGATAGGGGGATCATGGCACATTCAAGATGTGGGTATGCACTGACAGAATTACACTCTTTATTTTGATCCCTATTGTTTTTTTTTTCATATTCTTGGCACTCAGGTTTTTTATTTTGGTTTTGTTTGGCTGCTGAGTATTAAATTCAAGTCTTCATAGACTTGAATTCAGATCTTGTTCCTGAATTTAGTTCAGAGCCAATTATATATATAATGAGTGTTCCCTTTTACCCCCACATGCATTATATTTGTCAATACCGAATTTCATATTCTATTTTAACCACAAAGTCTTGCAAATTCTTCCCTGATGGCTCTAGCATAACATAATTGTATTATCTTTATAATTAACTTTATAATTTTAAATAATAATTCTGAACCTGTCAAAATCCCCAAGCCTACATAATACTAAAAGCTGTCATGAAAATACTGAATGCTATGTATATATACTTGACATACAAAATGCTAATTAAAAACTCATGAACCAAAAATAACTTGAGGGAACTGCTTGATGTTACTTTAATATTACAAATTTGTATGTTGCACAGTGCCCCAGAGACTGCAGAAAAATGAAGAACCAAGTGGACAAGATAAAAATACAAAGGGAGAGATTACACAGAACAAAGTTACCATGAGATAAATAAGCTACAGACCCTATTTGAATCCCAGTCTATCCATACTATGAAATTGTTGATCCTTTGTTTCTCTGAATGTACTGGATCATGTTCCTTGTCTACTGCATCTATTTCCTTCCCCTGGGGCACAGAAATTAAGTCTTACTAAGTGGCTGTGTGGATGGATACTGCTGGGGGACAATGGACTAAAGCTGAAGTAAATAAGGCTGGTCAGGCATGACTGCACATTAGCAGAGCCTGGCCCATTAGCAAGATCCCAACAACACAATACAGCAGCCAGGAAAAAAGGATACAGTAGTAAAAATGGATAAAAGCTCAGGACCTTATTGGAAGCTCCTTCACCACTTGTGGCAAGAACAAAAATGTATCTATTGCTATTTTACTACTTCCCAAATGCCTCTGCAAGAGAACTGCTATCTACTAAAACATAAAATGTTCCTAAATGCAGCAAAATAAGCTGAAGTGAGAAGCCACACATTTAAGTTGTGTTTTCTCTAACGACTTGAACAAAAAGCAAAAGTGATGTTATGTTAGAATTTTATACAAATTGTCTCATTGTACACACTATTCTTAATTACTCAAAGAGCTATATTAGGAATAGCCACACCATGACAAATTTGGGAGGCAAAAAAAGTGCATGCACTTTAAAGCTTCAGAAAGAAGAAGCTTTGAAGAGGTGGTACATATTTCATTTTAATACATCCTACTATTTAATAAGTCCTACTATTTCATTTTAATAAATCAGAAAATTCTCATTCATCTCCCCAGGTATGACCTCCAACAAAAAGATGCCAAGAACTTAAAATCTCCAGTATGCCTTCCACATTGTTATTCTTTGATGTAGAGCTCAGCAGCTGAAGAGTGGAATGCACTACCTGAGTAAATTCTGGAAGAAATCTGCAGTGTTCCCTCTGTCACTTCGACCACAGGGGATAGAAGCTTATTGTGGAGATAAGTAGAGATAATGATACCTAGTCACACTTTCTAGCAACTGCTTTTCACTTTAGATTCATCTTCAAATTCGGCCCTCATTTCATCCATATCTATCTTGAATTAAAAAAAAAAATGACTGTATTGTATTAAATAATTCAGATGCCACCATCAAAAACCTGGTTTTATTTTTTGTGAAGCAATATAAGATACTTTGGTTATGATGTGCAGCTACTGCTTGCAGAGCCATTAGCCCAGAAGCTTCTTTAAATCAGAGAAGCCAACAGAACTAGGTAACAATTCTGTGTGGGCAGTTTCTGCTTCATTCCCATCAAGTCAATGGATCACTGCCCTTGCATAACACATGGTAGCACTGAAATCATTGCTCCTGCCATGTTTAAATCACTAGTGCTTAACAATACTCTCTGGAGGCTTGCAGATTTTAGCTTGAAGAAGGCCACTTTCCTTATTTTTAGACTATTAATAGTCTGGGCAGTGAACACTTTGGCCAGCTGCACCAAAACCTGGGATTCAAAGGTGTATTTTAAATGGAAAGCTTTTTGAGCTCCTCACTCTTTTCATGTGAATGTATTCAATAAACAAGTTATTCCAGTAGGAGTGAGGTAAGTGAAGACTTGTGCTCTCTGCTTCTCTATACTCCCCATAACTGTCCCACTCCCATCATTTCTTCCAAGCAGGACAACTACATTTATGCCATCCAGGGAGAACCAGTACATGGGCTACTTGGGTAAAAACTCATCTGCCACCTTTTTTCAAGTGGGGGTTCATGTTTCTTTTCTTTCCAGCTGCCAATTTGCACAACACATATAAGCATAATTACCTCTAAAATTTCTGCCTCCTTCAAATGTAGTTTAATTGGGACAAATGTGTGCTCCTAAGGCCCAGAAAGCCAACTGTGTCCTGGGCTGCATCCAAAGCAGTGTGGGCAGCAGGGCCAGGGAGGGGATTTTACCCCTCTGCTCTGCTGAGACCCCACCTGGAGCACGGCATCCAGCTCTGGGGTCCTCAGCACAAGAAAGAAGTGGAGGAGGTCCAGAGGAGGGCAATGAAGATGATCCAAGGGCTGGAGAACCTCTCCTATCAAGACAGGCTGAGAGAGCTGGGGCTGTTCAGCCTGGAGAAGAGAAGACTCTGGGAAGACCTTATAGCACCTTCCAGTACTTAAAATGGGCTTATAAAAAAGAGGGAAAGCAACTTTTCACATGGACAGATGGTGATAGGACAAGGGGGAATGGTTTTATACTAAAAGAGGAGAGATTTATATTAGATGTTAGGAAGAACTTCTTTGCTCAGAGGGTAGTGAGGCACTGGAACACATTGCCCAGAGAAGTGTCTGCCCCATCCCTGGAAGTGTTCAAGGCCAGGTTGGATGGAGCTCTGAGCAACCTGATCTAGTGAGTGGCATCCCTCTTCATGGGAGGTGGTGGGGTTGGAACTAGATGATCTTTAAGATCCCTTTCCATCCAAGTCTTTCTATAATTCTAGGATAGATTTGAAAGCTACTGCTGTGCAGTCTATCCGTTTCCACAGTTCACTTAATTTGCTTAGAGAAACACTACCAAAATTAAACCAAATCTAATGTAGTGTTGGATAACATACAAGCATTCAGCACAGTGAAAAATTTAGCATCAGTACACCCCACCCATCTTTACATACACAACATAACATACCGTTTTTTCCTCATTTTCAAATGCTTCTCTTGCTTCTTCATAGCTACAGATTTCTTCTCTGCATTCATGTTCTATGTCACCTTGCTTTAATTCTTCCAGAAACGTGTTGGCTCTTGGGTATCTTTTTAACACAGAGTTGGCTTTGTCCTCTGTTAAGAACACTGAACAAGAAGAGGTGAGACAACAAAGGTCAGTTCTAAAATAGATACCCAAAACCTCATGCTAGAATTGTTCAAAGAAAACGTGCTTGTAAGAAAACGCTTTTTCAAAGTCTTCCCTTTTATTTCATATGATAAAAGGCGTCTCCCAGTTTTGTTCACTGTTGTAAGGAGTTGGGCCTACAATTTCAGTAGTTATTGCTATAATGGCATAAATGCAATAGACCTCAATTCAGCATCATAGTCCTGTGTGCTTCAACAAGCCTGAAGCTGGTGCCTAAGAAGTGCTCAGATGAGACAGGCACATGCTCAACTCAAGCAACTTCTTAAACTAAGATGACACAGAACAAACAAAACGAGATTTGCAACTGCTGGAGGACATCACAGCCAGAATGCTCTGAAGTTTTTTATATAAATATTTATGACTATTACCCAGAGTCACTCACACCAGAACAGCTGTATTTATCAATGTTTTAGTCTGTTAAGTTTTCTGAAGCAACTTCGAAGCAGACTGGCTCCCTTCACTCCAGAAATCTCAACCATGAAATGGGTACCCTTTCGGAGGTGTGGGGGGAACTGGCCTCTATTTTCTTTAATCATACACAAAACCTCACCTTATTTGATTAATCAAATAAAACAATTCCAAAAGGCAACCAGTGTTCTGACACAGGTATTCTTTATTTGTGTTCTTTAGTTTTCTCTTTTCTTCTGATGTTCTAAATTTCCCTCAAACTCCCTGCGCCAATGGTTTTTACAGTAATATGCAGCAACTGGAACACTCCATAATCCATCAGACTGAATTACCTGGGAGGTACATCTGCAGTAAATGCTGCAGAAATTCTCCAGGTATTTCAGGTCAGGAAGCAGGAACATCATGTCAGTGCTACACTGCTTATGGGCTCTCACTGCCAGCAAGAGGGGACGATTATTCAATGCACTGCCACATTAATGCACTCATACCACTTTCCTGACCTATGCAATCATTTGTGCATTGTTTCATTTACACCTAATCTGAAGGGTTTTTTTTCCCTTAATCATCTGATTTTTAATGTTACAGAAGGATGGCAGCAAGTAAACAAATATGATCACTGTGCTTTTGCTTTAGATAGATGTCATCTGTCAGCAATGATTAGCATAATTAGGCTGACCTACTTGAATTTCATTTTATTTAGTTTCTGTAATGGGTTTATGCGGCAAGGTTTTGGTAGTGGCAAGGCTACAGGGGTGGCTTCTGTGAGAGGCCGTTAGAAAATTCCCCTCTGTCTGAGACGGACCTGCTGCTGGCCAAGGCTGAGCCCATCAGGGATGGTGGTGGCACCTCGGGGATAACATACTTCAGAAGGGTAAAAAAAGCTCTGTGCAACTGCAGCAGCAGAGGAGTGAGAATATGTGAGAGCAACAGCCCTGCAGACACTGAGGTTGGGGAAGCAGGAGAGGCAGAAAATGTTCCAGGTGCTGGAGCAGATATTCCCTTGCAGCCCATGGTGCAGAGCATGGTGAGGCTGTGTCCCCGCAGCCCATGGAGGTCCACGGTGGAGCAGAGATCCACCTGCAGCTTGTGGAGGATCCCACAGTGGAGCAGATGGATGCCCAAAGGAGGCTGTAGGAAGACCGTGTTGGAGTAGGCTCCTGGCAGGACCTGTGGACTCTGTGAAGGACCCACACTGGAGCACTGTTTCCAAAGGACTGCACCCCATGGGAGGGCCCCATGCCGGAGCAGGGGAAGAGTGATGAAGTCCTTCCCCTGAGAAGGAAGGAGCAGCAGAGAGAGTGTGTGATGAACTGACTGCAGCCCCCAATCCCCATCCCTCTGTGTTGCTGGGGGGAGGAGGTAGAGAAATGGAGAGTAAAGTTGAGACCAGGCAGAAGGGAAGGAGAAAAAGTGTTTTACAAGATTTGTTTTTATTTTCTCACAATTTAAATAATTTCCCCAAGTTGAGCCTGTTTTGCCTGGACAGTAACTGGTGAGTTACTTATCTTAATCCATGAGCCTTTCACTGTATTTTCTCTCCCCTGATCAGCAGCAGTGACAGAAGGTTTGGTGGCACTTGGTGTCCAGCCAGGGTCAACCCACCACAACTTGATTACAAATCATTAGACAGTGATCTTCCTTTTGCAAAGGATTAAATGAAGATCTGAAGATTAAATTCCAAAACAGCACTCACTTCCAGTTTTAATACATGTACACACATGCACCACACAAATGACACTATCCACAATGGTGCCAGGGGTTCAGTGCCAACCCTACAACTGCATCTCCCACTAATTTGGTTTTCTACAGCACCACAGGTGAGCACATGGACATCTCCTATAAATTTACTGACTAAATAACATAAATCTCTTCAAAAGGAAAGAAAAAAAGATGGCTTCTTTTCATTTCCCACACAATTCTCCTGACTCCCCTCTAGGCCTGAAGAAGATGGTTTCTCCTCACATGCCTCAGTGATCACCTAAAGGTGATGAGCTGAAGGACTTGTCCACATGAGGAAGCCAGCACACAGCCATGCCTGGGGATGGACTGCTGGTACTCCACCTAGTTCTCCCAACTCCTTTTGGGCATTCCTGAAGGGAACAAGTGTCAGGCCAGACTCTCTTAAGAGTGCCCATATGAAGAGTCACTGAAGGGTAGATAATGCACTATAAATCAAGTTTCCTCCAGCAGATAAAACCTAGGGAATTTCATTTCACAGTTGGAATTCATCCCTGAAAAGAGCGATGAGAGAAATTATGACAGCTTTGTACCGGATGCGGAGGGAAAAGAAATACAGGAAAACGCAGACAGTTGAAAGCACCCTGACTTGAAGATTCTGGTTCTCAGAAACAAGATACAAATCTTTTTTTCTGCATGCACATTCCAATTTAGAAACAGAATAAAGGTTTTAAAGCTGGTATGTTAAGAAATGTTGCATTTGATACACACTGCTATGAGTTTCTAGGGAATACTTTAGTTTTCCAAAAGAAGCTAAACATACATTTCTGATTCAAATGCATTGACAAAGAACAGCAAACATTAAGATAATTCAATATTGAAGAACGGTCAATATATGACTATGTAAATGCCCAACTTTTTTATTTAGCATTCATATTCAGAAAGTCTGCCTTCTCTCACAATATAGTATACAAAATGCATACATCACAGAGACAAAAGAAAGCCCACTGAGGAAAATAAACTACATCCCATATTAATTCTGAAGATGTCTGATAATTAATGATCTCTGGTTAGTCCAGACCAGGAATGGCTTTTGAACCTGCAAGGCTGGAAAAAGATAAAGTATAATAATTTGTTTGTTTTGATGTGACATTTTTAATGCTCTGCACACTGCTATTGACTTCAAATCCTATTGAGAAATCAATAAAAATTCATCAAGGCAACATGAGAACACATGAATCAAAGCAATTTTGATGAAGATACTGATTGAAATACAGGGATTTAATGAGAATCAGTCACTGCCTGATGAACCCTATAAAAAGAGAGAATGGAACCACATTGAAGAATCCACTTTGACTTCTTAGTATTCCAGGATCATAATCCTGTAGATATTCAGTTATAGTTGGATAGGAGTGTGTAAAAAAAAACTACTTTGCATTTTCAGCTAAGCCACAGTGTGGCCAAATTCACTACAGCTGTTATTGTGGAGTTGAACACAATCAGGGAAGGCTTGTATGTGGCAAGAATAAGGTAATGAAGCACAATAAAACTTACTTTTTTACTTTTTTTTTTAAGGAGATTAACTAGCAAACACAAGATAAAAATAAAAATTATTATTTTGGCATTATGTAAAATAGACACATAAATAAGTAATTTAAAGTCTCTTTCAGTCCCTCAGTGTTTGTAGAATATAGATGAAGATACATATCTACTAGTAGTTTTAATGCATTTGAATACATTATTTCTTCAGACACGGTTGAGCTCTGTGTGTAACTGCAACACTTGTCTTTTACTAAGTTTTTATGCATCAGAAAGCTACAAAAAATAATTCCAAAGACTTAGTTTCACTTATTATTACTGAAGAGAGCAATACAGTCAGAACAATCTATTACACATTCTCTGTAAAACCTTCATGGTATCCTAACAGAGGATGGATACTCTACCAAGGTGAAATTCAATCAGAACCAGAGACAGGCAAGGACACGAGAGGATAAATACACCACAGCCTGCCAGCTGAAGCTGTCACAGGGAAAGAAAACAGGCTTCAGGTTTTTAGTGACAGAAGGAACAGGGAGCAGGAGCGTGGGAAAAATATTCTGGGACACAGAAGTGTGGCCAAAGCAAAGCCTGGGGCATCCTGGACACCAAAACCAGCTCTATTGAGACCATTATTGAGGCTTCCTTTTTTTGACTCCTTCCCAACAACTAAGCAGACTAAAACCACCACTGAAACCACCATGCTAAAAATAAACATTTAACCTTAAATTTGAAGCTGGTGCTCTTAAATTTGAGTCTTTCTGTAGTCCATCTTAATAAAGCCATTTGGTTTGAATAGGGCAGAGGGGTGAAAAATGATTTGTACATTTCTTTGTGAAGCTGAAAAAGTGACTTCTGCTCTAAAAATTTGGAGGTACTGGGACAAGATTAAAAATAGTTAAAAGTAAAGTATTCAAGGCTGGAAATTGAGCTCTGTGGTTTTCATTCTGCAGCCAACTTTCAAAGGGCCACAAGTAAGTCCGTGATTATTATGGTCTTCAAATGGTCTCTGTCAGAACAGTCATATGATTCCAGCTCACATCAGTGTGGGCAAAGATCTGCATTGTACATAACATTCAAGTCAGTTCAATGCCAGAGGGCATTTTTTGTGCAAAGTTACTGGGATTTTGAGGAGAGGACAGTTCTGGGGTGTGTTACTGCCCACTTCATAGGGAATAATAAAAAATGTACACTCATCACTAAGTTAACAAACTTACCACTATCCATGATGATTGCTGTCAAGGCAGGGAACTTGCAGTATCAAGTCTGTAAACAAAAGAGGAAACATCCTGTTGAGTTTGTGAATTATGATGAACTTGGAAAAGTTTCTCTTGATTCCCTAACACTGTTACAAATATATCAAGATTAACCCCTCTTTTGAGATGTACCACTACTGCAGGCAAATTAATTTCAGTAATATAGGTATAGTATCCAAAAAAAGTTAACTCTGGTGAACTGGTGAATGCTTTAACCTTTTTCAAGGCTTTTCACATTTAGAATATACAAAAATGTTAATATGAAAGAAAGGGTGTGTATCATTTAAAATGTAATGCAGCCTGTTTTGCCTAATTGAACTTGAAAGGTATTACATTCTCCACTGTAATTACTTATACTTTAGCTAAGACTTAAATTTACTCTGCAGAGATCAAGTCAACACGTTGAGTCCATAGATCAGATTTTTTGAAATCAGAACACACATGTAAATACATTCAGAGTCAGCTACTGATTAAAACAGGATGTCTGCATAAAGTGCAAGGGCAGAACAAGGCCTGCAATTTGGCAAAGGAACTTGCAATACATGAGAGGCTCCCAACCAGCCCTACAAGAACTTACATGCACTTTGTACCTCATCTTGGAAAGAGAACAGACAAGAGATGCTCTCAGTTAAAGTGCCTGAAGCTCACTGCACCCACCAGGCAGAGAGCCAACAAGAACTGCATCTGAAGGCAGCAAGAATAGTTTGAGGGATTGTTTTCTGTGTCTTGGAGTCTTTATTAGTATGGGAAGAATTAAGAAAACAAAAGCTTTCAGGAAAGAACAAGAAAGGTACAACTGCCTAACAAAGTTAGTAGAACATCACAAGGTTAAAGGTATTTTTTTTTTAATTAAAAAAATTACCTACTCCTAAATTCAGAGGACAGGTTACACATCAACATGTACCACACTGATGTCCTCACTTTTCATAAATCCAAACCCTCATAAGCAAACCTCTCTGTGAAAAGGTTTGGCCATGGCTGTTGTAAAAAAAGAGGGAAAGTTAATGTTTCCAGCATGGCCCATCCAACACCATAATTCATCAGGCAAGAGCAGACTTTGTAAACAGTATTTGTAAGGACTGCTGAGGTGAGTGGAGCTCTGTAAAGACATCCCAGCCTGCTAAACAAAACTGTAGGATTGGGACTACAAGACTCGTAGGATGAAGGAGTAAACTGATTTTAAAGCAAGTTCATCAAATCTCTGTAAAGGCAAATAAATGCGGATAAACATCAAACATTAAAGCAGTCTAAAATCTCACCACCACAGTGTTTAGCTTGTCATTACTAAGTATTGCAGGTTAACAGAAGCAGAAGACTTAAAATTTTTTTTCAGAATTTATATAAGACCTCTTTTAATACACTGAATTTTTCTTACCAGACTCCTCTGTGCTAAGAGAAACCACATTTGCCAATTGCTTCTTGAATAAAACTAAAATTAGCATCATTTCCTGGGCAGCCACATTGTTACAACCCAAATATCTGCGATGAAGAAATTGCCAAACTTATAAACAGGTCACAAAAGAACTGGCTAGTGGTGTAACTATTCTCTTCACCTGTTACATCATTATTTTTTTTTGCCAGTTATTACCCAGCAGTTTCAGATGGCTGCTTTTGCAAACATCAGATAAAACATACAGCAACAGAAGAGGCAGAGCCATCAGTGCTCCCTTGCTCTGTTAAGTGGCAGTAATGCTGTGCATTAAACACACCTTGCCAGGCTTTCCCCCTCTCTAATGGAGTCATTTTTCTGCAATAAATTTCAGTTAGTCTTTAATATTTCATCCCCTTAACAAATAACTTGGGTGTGGGTTTCAAAAACATTAAAAAAGAAAAAGGCAGAATATACACATCCACATCCATGAGTCACAACTAGATGGCTCTGATGGCTCTGCCTACTTGGAACTGTGGTGGAAACAAGAGGAATTTACAAGCCTCTCCCCTGCTACAGGATGTTTTCCACCAGGAACACAGCAGGACACTGCCTCTGCCTTGGCACCTTGCACTAGGTACTTGGTATATCATAAGCTCTGGGAATGAACATCAGAAAACTGACATACACAGGCTGGGAAGCTGGGGAAAACACATGGAGGAGGAAGAGAAAAAAAAAAGAAAACACAGAAGGAAAAACATTTTAATTTCTTCAAAGGTAGGTATATTATGAGTTAGTGACAAAATAAAGATTTCTTGAAGTGGCTGCAAAACACAAATTACATTTTTCTTTACCGCCTTCATTACAGAAGGAAACAATATGTCCTTCTCTAGGAAATCTCAAATACAGCTTTCCAATCAGTGGCCGTAGTACAGAAACTCCCATTCATCAATCTATATTAAATTCTTACACGAATTACAAGTATTTAGAGCTCCCTGGAACTAATCATGTCCATTTTCCACCAAATGTGTGTCTTTTCTATGTTCCCCTGACTTTCCTCTCTATATCTCCTCAGCCTTCATTTCCAAGCTCCCACAAGTCATAGCTTCCTCCTATGACATCCAAAAACCTACTGGGCAAGAGGTTGATTAAGGACAGGGGTAATGCCTGCCCTGCCACTACACAGACATTTCACCCACAGAACAAACTCTCCCACTGCAGAGGAACCACTTGTGCCTTCACCCTCTACTTAACTGTCCCTTCCCCTAAAGGGAAGGAGTTTAATTATTTTTTAGTCCTCTTCTCTGACTGGCTTGGTTCAAACTGACTAAATAGTTCAAAGGTTGCTTGGAAGAAAGGATAGAACATGGACAAGTACAAAAATCTTCAGCTAATAAAGCTGAAGAGGGCTGACCACACCACAGGAACATCTTGACTTGCTACTGACTCATTTATTCCTCTACCCGGCTCTTTATTTAGTTTTCTGCTTTTAAGTCTTCACAAACCTTACTGAAGCCTATGCATACAGAGCAATCTTTTTCATATACATACACAAGAACACATACTCCTCACCACCCCCCCCCACCTCCAATAGTATCTTACTAGTAACACCAATGTTTATTGTTTCAGGAATTCCTCTTCTATATATTATTCCCTCCACAAGGTTACATATCACCTTAAATTTGCTTGTGGAAAAAGTGACAACAGGGTGGACAGCATGGGCGGCTCTACAGCCACGCTGAGTGTCGAACTCTGAGTTCAGTGGCAGCTGACTTACCCAAACCAACACGTGATCTTTCCTCACTGCCTGCTCGGCTGCTGGTAAAATGGTTAAAAAACATGACAAGAAAACAATAAACCGTCCACTCTTGGTAGGAATTATAATGACTCAATAAGAACACAAGTTCTAAAGTGTGTGAGACAGCCAAGGAGACACACCAACAAGGCCTGTGCTATTTACCAGCAGCACCCTGCTCACCAGGAAAGGGGTGCAGTCTCTTACCAAGGGGAAATATTTTGCATGAAAGCTCAAGGACCTAACATTGAAGTAACAAACTAAGATGTACATTTCTTTCTACAACTAACCTAAACTTTCTTTTCCTCAGTCCTGAAAGTGCCCAAACCTTGCCTGCACTATCTATAAGCATAAAGCATAGAATATGTGTACACGTTTCCAAAGCTGGTAATCATATTCTAGCAGTGCAGTGTATCCCTTAAATTCTAAAAGTAACTAACTTCAGCATTAAAAGTTGTTGGCTTAAGACAATATCTCTGCAAGATTTTGTTGCATTTATTAAGATAACCATCTTCAGTTGGCAGCATACACCTCTTCTGGGTACATTTCCTGACTAATGGAAACTCGTGTGCAGCATGTACCATTACAGGACAGAGGATCTGATTGAGGGCACACAAAACTGCCTGCACTGTTCTCACTCACTGTCACGTGTTCTAAGGATACAGAACATCAAGAACAAAGCAAGTCCTTAAGGGAAGGGATTAGAAAGAGAAGAGAAAATAAGGCTAATGTAAAGCAGCAGTGGTATTGTCCCTCACTTTCTCACCTGCTGCATTAACAGGGACTTAAAACACTGCAAGGCCACCATGCTCCTCTCACAGCTGGGGAGGGATGAGCCTGAGAGCGTCCAGGTAGGGAAGAGGGAAGTGGCTTTTTTGTTCTGCAATAGAATTCTTAACATAACATTCAAGTGTTAATTTTAGTTTTGTAATCTGTACAATTAATGAAACCACTGGGACACAATTTATAACCAGATGCCACATAGAGCTATATAGTTTCTTAAAGTTATAAATATTTAAATTTTTCTTGAGCTTTTTATGAAAGCAGGTCCATTCAAGGGACACTGTTAACTAAAACATTAGTAGATGTTCTGTCTAAAAATAAACAGCCCTTTTCTAGCCCTCAGCCCCAAACCAGGTGCAAAGCAAAAACTGAAACACTCCTGTGGGAGGTCTGTTTAGAAGAAATATTAAAAGATTATCAATCTGTCTTCCTGTGTAGTTATTTAATTATCTGACTGCCATTTATTCAAAACGCATTATGTGCCTACATAAAAATACCAGTCCCACCACATACATCTTTTATATCCTTGGAAAAAATGTTACAGAAGACTAAAATTTTACTTATTATCATCTGTTTCACAGGAACTTGCTTCCCAGGAAAAGCATACCAAATAATTTACATGGATTCAAATGCTGAAGAAATAGATTTATTTTTCTCTGAACAGAATAGGATATAGGATATAGAAGAACCTTGTATTTATTAAATTGCTCTTAACAGCATGTTTTTTCAGGGAATTTGGTGGGAATAAAGAGGGATGGAACATTTTGGAAACTACTCTATCAGACAAGGATGCAAAAGATTTGTCCCACCTCAGACTGCATAGGACAAGGATAAGAGTAAAACAGAGAACTGAAAAAAACCCCTCTGCTTTGTAGATGCTATCTGATCACAGCATTATAAAACGTCATCATTAATTCTGATGACATAAGGACCCAAACCCACAGACCAGGTCACTAACAGAAACCTGTACTTAGCAGAGCGCCATTGCATCTTTAACCCAGTGAAACCCATCATTACTCACAGAGCAAGCAGGCTGAGCACAGCTCTCCAACACCGCCCTGAG